AGTAACAGTAATATCTACCTCATAGCTGTTGCTAGAATTCAATGTGAAATAATGTCTGCAGAGTACTCATCAAAGTACCTGGTTATTATAAAGTCTTAATAAATGCTTAATAAAAGCTATTATTGTTTTAAATTTTTTAATTGAGTATTCATTCTTTATTTTTACTTGCTAAGTCTGGAAACCCTAATCAGCTCATCAACCACTGATGACTGAATTAGGAGCTCAGATGGAGGGAGAGGGTAGGGGAAGTTGTGGGTTGATTAGTATGAGGAATGAATCACAAAATCCTAAAAACTTTAATTTGGAAGATTGCTTTTCTATTGCTGCTTCCTTTACCTGAATAGACAAAAGTCCTCAGAAATATCAGAAACATCCACAAAGAAGTAGGAGTTATACATATTACCATCCAAACTATGGTCCCACTAAATAAAGAGATTAATAACCCAGGATTCTATTTATTTTTAAAACATAGATTGGGACTATGTGTAATTGATTACAAATACAGGTATTCCTTTGTCTATAAATATGTCAAGTCCTTTTTATCCCTCAATAAATGTATAGCTTGCCATTTCATATATTTTAAAATATTGATTATTAATGTAACTATTTTAGTGAAAAGGCATCTGGTGTTTTACTGTTACTTTTGTTTTATGTTGTATTCTCTAGCACAGGGGTCCCCAACGGTCTGTGTGGCCTGTTAGGAACCAGGCCACACAGTAGGAGGCAAGCAAGCAAAGCTTCATCTGTATTTATAGCAGCTCCGCACTGCACACATTACCTCCTGAGTCCCGCCTTCTGTCAGGTCAATGGGGGCATTAGATTCTCATAGGAGCACGAACCCTATGGTGAACTGCACATGCAAGACCTAGGTTATGTGCTCCTGATGAGAATCTAATGCCTGATGATCTGGCACTGTTCCCTATCACCCCTAGATGGGACCGTCTAGTTGCAGGAAAACAAGCTCAGGGTTCCCACTAATTCTACATTATTGTGAGTTGTATAATTAGTTTGTTCTATATTACAATGTAATAATAATAGAAATAAAGTGCACAATAAACATAATGCGTTTCAATCATTCTGAAACCACTCAACTGGTCCATGGAAAAATTGTCTTCCACAAAACGGGTTCCTGGTGCCAAAAAGATTGGGGACCACTGCTCTAATATATTAAGAAAGTTTCTAATTCTCCATGAGTTTGTTTGTTAATTGGAAACTGAACTTTATCAAGGACCTTTTCAGCTTTTATGGATATGATAATACAGTTATTCTCCTTTATTTTGTTTACATAATGAATAGAATTTGTACATTTCCTAATTCTGAACCAAGTCTCTATGCCTGGGTTGATATTCCAGCTTTGCCATTAACTGCCTACCACTAACTTGCAGTGTAATATTGGGCAAGTCTCATAACCTTCTATGTGTTTCTCTTTTATAAGGTGAAAACAGCATTATTACGAAGAATAAATGAGTTAACGCATGTAAGCTGGTTAGAATAGCCTGGAACTATGTAAGAACAGCCTGGTACTATGTAAGAATAGCCTGGCACTTAGTAAGCACTATGTACAGCTTAGCTGTTATTTCTATTTTTAGATGAGAATGAGCCAAAATTTTGTGTGTGTGTGTGTGTGCGCGCGCGCGCGCGCGTGTGTGTGTGTATGTGTATGTGTGTGTTACCTCTGTCAAGTTTGGTGTTAAGGTCATGCTAGCTTCATAAAATAAGAGCTTTAATATGAAGCTATTAATATCGAGGATCGGAAATATTTAAAATAACATAAGAATTACTTGGCTAATTACTAATTAGCCATTTAACCCTGGAGCTTTTACAGACATTATGTCTTTGAATAACTTTTCAATTTCTTCCATGTTTATTGGTCTGTTTGGATTTTCTACCTTTTCTTTAACTGGTTTCAGTAGTCGTGTTTTTTGAAAAAAAATCTACATTTTATATTTGTTAGCATAGGCTTCTTGTAAGAGGCTGTACACTGTAGTGTGGACTCAAGCCAGGCTGCTGGATTTGAATCCCAGCCTTCTCACTTACTAGATAGGTGATCTTGGGCTAATTACTCAACCTCTTCCTGTTTCAATTTCCTTATCTGTCATATTGAGCTAATAAAATACCTCATAAGATTGTTGTGAGACTTCACGTGCAAACACTTATTGGTTTATTTGTTTATTGTTTGTGAGTATATGAACCCCGCCCCAACCCGTCAACTCAATTTATTCACTATTGTATTTCTAGCAGCCAAAAGAGTGCTTGGCACATAGTATGCACATGTATGGATACTAGTTTAGGATTTTAATTTTGATTTCTTTTCTCTAATCTAGGAGTCATTTCGGAGAGTACAATATTGGTAAATTTCCAGTCCTGTGTGCATTTTTTATTGTAAATTTCTCATTTTGTTATATCTCTATAGGAGAATGTGGCCTGTTGGTCTGAGAATTTATTTAACTTTTCTTTGTGGCTGTTTATTGTACATGTCTGATGGACATTTGAGTAGAATATTCTCTGCAGAGTTTAAATACATTAATCAAATCAAGCTTCTTAATGGCATTATTTAATAATTATACATTTAAAAATTTTTTGGTTTACTTGATCAAACTGTAGAAGAATGTGTGAAAGTCTCCCATTTTACTTATGATTTATGTAAAATTTTATCTTGTTCTTTCGAAAATGTTTTTGCTTATGTTTCACTGCTATTACTTTGTTTCGCTGCCTCTATAGTTTCCATTTAGACTTTATACTTTTGTCCCATTTAATGCATTTTTCTTTGAATTCTACTTTTTTATATTAATATTACCATCCTGCTCCCTTTTTTGTATACATTTATCTAATATTCCTTATTATTTAATTGACAATGTTTCAGGGTCTTTTAGTTATAAGCATATCTCTTGCAAACAGTATATACAGAATGTCTTTTTCACTCTATATGATAATCTTTGTTAATTGAGAAATCTATCATTTTACATTTACTATGTAATCAATATGTTTGATCTGATTCTTGTTATCTTACTTGATTTTTTTTTTTTTGGTATTTTCCTTTTTTTCTACCTTTTCTGACTTTATTATAATGATTCCATTTTTCCTTGGACATTTTTTTCCTTCTATTAATTTAGAAATTCTGTATCATATTTTTTTTTTTTTTTGCCCTATTAGTGTTATTTAATACAGTCACTTGGTCAGGAGAAATTGTCAAACATGGCTATGTTCTCAATTGAGAAGCCAAGAAAGAGTTTGAAAATATTACTGATGAGTCGGAGTTCATTTAAAGCCAGGAAAGTAAAAGCATAATAAATTCTGATTGGGATATAAATAAAAGTTTAAATTTAATGTGATTTTAAATATACCTATGTTTCATTTTCAATATTTTTTCAACTACTTTAATGTTCTGGAAAAAGGTAACCATTAATAATAAAACTAGTCAAGATAATGTATATGGCTCCCATAGGGCTCCACATGGCATGAGTTTTCGTTTAAAATTTTGATACTTTAAAGTCTTCATGGATCTTGTGATTAACATTGATTTTTTAAAATATTGTATTACAATATTATTTATCTCGATTACCTAGGTTTGTGGTGCCCCCACTTAAATTCTGCATCTGAGGCGAGTGCCTTGCTTGCTTGACTCTAATCTTAGCCTAGTTTCAGAATTAAATATGGTGTTTATTTTTGGTTTTGGCAGCTAGCCTTTATCAAGTTAAAGGTGTTTCCTAGTTTTGTAAGAGTTTATTTCATAAATGGGTGTCAAATTTAATAAAAACTTTTTTGGGCTTCTCTTGAGAAGTTTACATGAATTCTCCTTTAATCTTTTCTAACAGAGTCCCATTGTTCATATCTTCTCAACCACCAAGCCTGATTTGCATTCTTGGGACAAATTTTACTTGCCCTGTTTTAAGAGGCACTAATCCCATTTTTAATATTTTACAGAATTCAATTAATATTTTTACATGTATATCCGTATATGATATTGCTTATTATTTCTTTGATAGTTGTTTTTATCAGGATTATATCCCATAAAATAAGTTATATGGCTTCCCAAATTTATCTATGCTCTAAAACATTTGTAAAAGAAAGAACTATCTGTTCCATGGAGGTTTGGTAGAAATGACCTACAAAATTGCCCGGGCACGGTGCCATTGGGAGGGTGGTGGGGAGGGAGGCTATAATTTCAATTTCTATTACTCAGGTTATCCATATCTTCTTGAGCTAATTTTAAAAATTCGTATTTTCCTACAAAATTGTCACTTTCTGTTTAGGCTTTCAAATGTATTGGTATAAAGATGAATCTATTTTTCTCTTACAATGTAAATTTTCCCTGTCTCTCTAGTCACTTTGCATTTTTTGTTCTTAATGTTACTTTTCCCTTTTAGTTTACTGATTAACTTTCAGTTTTCTTTCATTAATTTCTTCTATTTTTGGCATATACAGTTGACTCCTGAACAATGGGAGGATTGGGGCACCCATCCTCTGCTCAGTCGAAAATCTTTGTGTAACTTTTGACTTCCCAAAAACTTAGTTACTAATGGCCTACTGTTGACAGGAAGCTTTATTTATAATATGAATAGTTGAATAACACATATTTTTTATGCTACATGTATTATATACTCTATTCTTAAGATAAAGAAATAGAGAAAATAAAATATTATTAAGAAAATCATAGGCCGGGCACGGTGGCTCACGCCTGTAATCCCAGCACATTGGGAGGCCTAGGCGGGTGGATCATGAGGTCAGGAGATCGAGACCATCCTGACTAACACGGTGAAACCCCGTCTCTACTAAAATGACAAAAAATTAGCTGGGTGTGGTCGCGGGTGCATGTAGTCCCAGCTGCTAGGGAGGCTGAGACAGGAGAATGGCGTGAACCCGGAGCTTGCAGTGAGCCGAGATCGCGCCACTGCACTCTAGCCTGGGCAACAGAGCCAGACTCCGTCTCAAAACAAACAAACAAGCAAACAAACAAAACAAACAAACAAAAAAAACATAAGGAAGTTAAATATATTTACTATTCATTAAGTCGAAGTGGATCATCATAAAGGTCTTCATCCTCATCATCTTCACATTGATTAGGCTGAGAAGGAGAAAGAAGAGGGGTTGGTTTTGTTGTCTCAGGACTGGCAGAGGCAGAAAAAAATCTATGTAAGTGGACTCACGCAGTTCAAATTTGTATTGTCCAAGGGTCAACTGTATTATCTTCTGGAATCAAAAGGTTAGTTCATTTATTTTATTTTATTTTTATTTTTTATTTTACTTTAAGTTCCAGGATACAAGTGCATAGCGCCTAAGTTTGTTACATAGCTATATGCGTGCCATGGTGGTTTGCTGCACCTACTTCATTTATTTAAAATTTTTTTTTTTGGTATTTAGAACTTTGGGGTTACTTATCTCCTGAATCATTTGAACTTTTTATTTAGATTACTTTTTTCAGCTAATACTTGTTTAGAAGTGTTTTTATTTTTTGAATTTACAGATGTAGATTTTCTAACTTTCTGGATTAAGTTTTGTCACCAATTTCTAAATGTATCGCATTGTGCTCAGTAAATGTGGCCTATATAGTATAAATCTTTGGGATTTCTTGAGATTTCCTTTGTTAATACATGGGCAATTTTGAAAAATGCTTCAAGTATGTTTGGAAAGAATGTGTGTCCTTTGTTGGGTACAGTGTTTTCTCCATGCTTACTGCTAGAGCATGCTTGAAAGCAGGTCATCCAAATTCTCTATATTCTTATTTATATTTTGTTTACATCATATGTTCTTTTCTGAGAGACTTATGTTAAAGCCTCTTAGTAGAATTGCGGACTTGTCTATTATTCCTTGTAGCTTTGTCAATTTTTACTTAACATATTTTGAAGCCATGTTGTTAGAGAGGCATAAAAGTTTGTGGCCATTTTATTTTTGTGGTTAACTATTTATTTTACCAGTATGAAAATTTTTGTGCCTTCTAAGGCTTGTTTACATTGAATTCTACTATATGTGATAGGAATATTCTGCAGCTACTTTAGTCAGTATTTGTGTTTGTCATGGAAAATTGAGATTCCAGATTGTATTTTAAACTTGGTATATTAAAGTACAGAAGAGTGCGTATGTTATCTTTTATGTTAGAAAGAGAAAAAATAAGACTATACACTAGAATTTGCTTGTATTTACATTAAAAAATACTAGAAGGTACACAAAAACAAAGTTTGTACTTAACTACATATTTTGTCCCGATGCTGACGGCTGAATGTTAAAAATTAATAGATAGCTAAGCTGAAGGCTGAAGCAAAAAATCGACATCATAAAGCAATCCTCTGGGATTCAAGAAAACATATGTAAACATACATATCAATGTTTAGTTATAATTACAATTTTATTATTAAAATGTATGACATTATAATCCAGAGACAATAATTCAATAATAAGTCTCTCTCTCTCTTTTGTTTTTTTTAAACACTGTCAGCTGTTCTGGGAACATATACTGGACATGTTAAATACCAAATAGTTTTATTCTTCCGACCAAAGTTAGTATAGGAACAAGAGGCTTTTTTTAACCAGGTCTGGCAGTGTAAGTTCCTGCTGTTAGTGCTGTTGCCAGTGTACTATTAATTTTGTTGTCTTCTCTAAGAGTAAAAAAAAAAAAAAAGAGAGAGAGAGACTTAACTCCTGGATTTGAAGATTTGGTGCACTTTAAATAACATGATCCCACGGAATCTATATACAGACTTCAGGTTATTATCTTTAGTTGTATTTTATATTCTTAAAACACTCACTTGAGAAAACATTTATTGTTAAACATTGGACTTAAAATGTAGCATTAGAACAACAAAATTGGCTTTTAAGACAATAAATTGCCTGTGAATTTCTATTTTATTTCAGCTTTTGCTTTGTGCACAATTTCAGAAACTTCTCTAGGGGAAAATAATACATGACATTGAAGTAGGTATTTGGTTTCTCAGTCTCCAGAATACCAAAGGCCATGTGAAAACTAAAACACATATGTTAGCTAAATTCTGAGGCCCAAGACAAACCTTGGTGCATCATTATATAAAACTAATAAAAGTGGAACCTTATGTATGTATTATTTATTAATAATTTTTTAAATACTAAAATATTTTTAAAGTTAACTTGCTTCACTTATTTACTTATAAACATATGCTTTTACTTGTTTAAAGCACAGTTACTTATTTACTAGCAAGAAAAAAAAGGACTGCCTTAATCTATATTCTCAGTCCTAAGTAAATCAGTACAATCTTTATCATAATGGGCATAATGGTTGGGTTAGTCCTAATAATGAGATACTAGTAGATTATTTATCACAGGATTGGTGACTAAAATTTATTTCTAAACCAAAATTTACAGTATCATGATGAGTTAGCATGGTTTTTTATGACAACATTCTAAAAAATCTGTTCCTATAGCAAACTATATTAGGCCTCGTGGTCTCAAGGTCAAGGTCACAGGTCAACCATCTTTGGGATAATTATACTCTTCAACATTGTCAGAAAGCTCATTTCCCTTTGTTTTAAATAGACTCAGAAGCTCAATTTATGTTGGCAAGATATACAATTGAGCATAAACCTGACAAGAAAGAATCTTCAACTTACCTTGACTAATGTTTATTTTCTTAGTGTCCTTAAGTTAGATGTTTTGTAAATATTTTTGGGTTTTGCATTTATTCATATTATAGGAGGTAATGGCTAGTTCATCACTTTGCATTCATTTTCGTAGCATCTATATTAATAGTCTCCCTTATTTTCAAGGTTCTTCACTAAATTGCCATTTGAGACTTGTGGCCTCTGGTGTCAGCTTAATTTTAATCAAGGATAAAATAGCAATAAATGGTAATTATAATTTTATATTTCCACAGCTTGTGGTATCTATTTTGTACTTTGATTTTAAAACTTTCTGAACTATTTTTAACAAATATATCTCCTGTAAATAGCTTGTGGCTGGACTTATTTTATACAGTCTTAGAGTCTCTTTCTTTTCATAAGCTGGTTACATTTAGATTGTACATTTACCAATTACATTGATGATCATTCCTCCAATTTTATCCTGTTTGCTTTCTACTTATCGCAGTTTCTAGCTGGTTCTTTTACTCCTTCTCCCCCATCCAATTTCTTGCCTCTTATTGCATTATTTTAGTCTTCTTTAATCCAACTTTTTGTTCCATGGGTTTGAAATTGCCAGAAAGACCTGAGACTAGATCACATTTATAAAAATAATTAATTAGACATCACATATTTTTAAAAGCCTGATTATTAAAATACAAAATAACAATAGGTGGCTTGAATAGCAGAATAAACAAAGCTGGAGGACAAATGAATGAGCTTAAGATCAAGACCAAAAAACATCCCAGAGTGCAGCAAAGGGATAAAAAGATGTTAAATCTGAAGAAAAATAAAAAAGTTAAGAACAATTTCCAATATAATTTTTTGTACAGGGAAAGGGTGCCTCCTATATTCTGGTCAATCTCCAAACGTACCAACTTTGGTATAGTTGGAATTCCAGAAGGAGGGAGGCAATAGTCACAGAAACAGTAGAAGAAAAATTTTAGAATGAAAGAAGACTTTTGTTCCCTGGTTAAAGGAACCCACTGAGTGCCCAAAATGACACAAAACATCACAACCAAGAACAAAATCTTTATATCTAGATACACTATAACAAAACTTTAGAGCATCAAGAAATAAGAGAAAATCCCAACAACCTCCAGGGAGGAAATTTGAAAGACAGACTAGAAGACGGATAGATTCCTCATCAGAACATTAGATGGAAGATGACAAGGAAACATTTTATAAAACTAGTATGATCTTGATACAAAAACCAGACAAGGACAGCATGAAAAAGGAAAAAATATAGGCCAGTTACATTTATTAACATAGATGCCAAAAAAATAGTAAGTAAATGCCATCAAACCAAAATGAGAATTTATACCCTAAGATGTATTTTCAATCTCATAGACTGAGAGAAATTAAGTAGTCTGATAATACCAAGGTTGGAGGAAATGTGGAATAGTGGAAATTTTATACATTGCTATAGGATTTTAAATTGGCATAAGGTAAAATAAAGCAGTAAGTACAGAAAACTATTTATGGCATGGCCCCATTTTTATAAAGTCCAAAAACAAATAAAATTAAATATGATGTTTAGAGATGTATACATCTATGGTAACACTGTAGGGAAAATGCAAGGGAACAGTAAACACAAATTCCCAGACTCTTTTTGGGAGTAGTGACAGTGGGAAGAGAAACAGATCAGGGGTGAGGCCTGGGCAGGAACATATGAACCGTTTCAGTATTATTGGTTATATTTCAGTTTTTTAAGTTGGATCTTGCTTTACGAGTATTGCTTTATTAGTAATTTAGTATTTATTATTTATAGTTTTCATTATTTTCATTTTACTCCAAATTCAATATCACACATTCTGCCTTTTGTAGGTATATATATGCACATATATGTACAAAAGAAAAATATATACAAAATAGCACGTAAATAAAAATATTTTTAAGTAGTTCTGAAGGAAAACGACATTGACCACAGAATGCCATACCCAAACAAAGTGGGAATAATGACATTTTCAGACATGTAATGACTCAGAAAATGTATCATCCACAGAACCTTCCTGAGAGAATTACTGGTATATGTTCTCCAGGAAAAAGAAAAACAAGAAGAGAAGGCAGAATGTTGGAATGTAAGAAGCAATGTGAGCAAACACATTAGTAGATGTCTATTGTGAAGTGCAAATAAGTGGGGATTTGGAAAATTAATTATCTGGAATGACATGTAGTCATCCCTCAGTGCCCCCAGTGGGACTGGTTCCAGAAACCCCCACAAATACCAAAATCCACAGATGCTCAAATCTCTGATATAAAATAGTGTAGTACTGTATTAGCATATAACCTACACCATCCTCCTGTATACTTTAAATCATCCCTATTTTACTTATAATACCTAATTCAATGTAAATTGTATGTAAATCATTGTTATACTGTATTTTTATTTGTATTATTTCTATTGTTGTGTTATTTTATTCTTATTTTTTCAAATATTTTGGATCGATGATTGATTGAATCTTCAAGTGTGGAACCTGCAGATATGGAGGGCAGACTCTTCAAATGAGATCAATATAATGGATGGAAGGGAGAGGGAGCAAAATGAAGTAAAAGTATTTTAAATTATTTTTAGTGAGACATGATATAAATGTTGATGTTAATTCTGTGTGTGCCTCAGGTTTTGGTTAGAGATGCCAAAGTCCCTCCAGAAGTACTTACCTA